AAGCAAAATAAACGGTTTTTTAAATAATCATACAAGATATAGATAGCATAAAGTTAAATATTTCAAATATGTACACTCGTTAATATAAGAGATTATAGGATTTAATCTTGAAATATAATTAAATTGTCTATTATTAATTTTTTTTCGTCCCAAAGGACGACTTTTTGTTGAGGAGACTATCCATGATGAGTTCGTGAGACGTGTGGTCGACGAGATAAAGAAGATTACCATCGGTAATCCGCTGGACAGAAGCACGGCTCACGGGCCGCAGAATCACAAGGCTCATTTGGACAAACTCCTCGCGTTTGTGCAGAGCGGAGTCGAAGAGGGCGCGAAGTTGGTCTACGGCGGCAAAAGATTGAATTGTCCCGGCTGGTACTTTGAACCAACCATATTCACGGACGTTGAGGACAACATGTACATTGCCAAAGAAGAATCCTTTGGTCCAATAATGGTGATCTCCAAGTTCAGCTCGAAGAACATCGATCAGATGATCGCGCGGGCGAACAACACCGAATTTGGTCTGGCCTCGGGGGTTCTTACCAAGGACATCAGCAGAGCGCTCAGATTTGCGGAGAAAATCGAGGCTGGCACAGTATTCATCAACACGTACAATAAGACGGACGTAGCAGCACCGTTCGGCGGTTTCAAGATGTCTGGATTCGGCAAGGATTTGGGACAGGAGGCTCTTAACGAATATCTCAAGACGAAGACGGTCACCATCGAGTACTAACGATCATTATCCGAGAACATTAGTATATGGTATTATATGGATGTGTACACTCTAAATTTTTTACAGTGAAATCTTACTCCAAGAGAGTGAAACTTGTTTTTAAGGATGGTTGTATTTTCACTCTCTTGGGATTTCACTGTAAGAAATTTAGAGTGTAATGACGCATATCGTCGTATCTAGGTCTTACAAAGTTTCTTTAATAAAAAATGAATGAGTCTTACGTTTAAAGATAAAAAATTAATATACATTCGCACACCACATTTCCTCGTTTCCTCTTTACATACTGCATATATTATTTATAAATAATATATTATAAGTTAAAAGGCCGATAAGATTAAATCAAATAAGAAAAAGAATCCTATTTTCAGTCAAAGCGGATGCTGAATGCTTGATAATATTCGAATACAAATTTATATATAAACGTTATCAAGCATCAGCATCCGCTTTAATTAAAAATAAGATTCTTTCTTTAATTTAATTTATACAAATAAATTTGTTGTTTCTATAACTTTTTTTTCTGCCTTTATTAATCAAAAACAAATAATCGACTTTCTTTAAACAATAATTAAGCTTGTTTGCTTCAATTTTTGATGAAATCTTAAAATCTCATGATAGACATCAACGATGTATTTAATCATTTTACAATGACCATTCTTACATCTTGTTGCAATCATCGAAAAGAAAAATCACTCGACGTGGGAAAACACGTTTCAAGTCAACGAAACGAGAGAACGAAACGGGACCTTTACGTTAACGAAGGGAGATTGTGGATCTCGCTCCCACGCGTACGGGGTGTACAAATAGTTTTTACAGCGGATCGCCTTCTATCCTCAAGTTCCAGATGTTGCGTGATTTTTTTGTCTCAGAACACACAAGTGTGCTCCGCGCGTTGCGAGTAGATTCATTCGCGTTCCTATAGCGTTTCATCTTGTTCGACCTTGTCTCTCCGAAGGACCAATCGCAAATGATCATTCACTACCATTTTGAACATGAAACTGGAGATCTGGAAGAAAACGACGCGAGTAATTTTTTAAAGACAAGCCAAAATATTTCAAAAATTAGATAACAATTAGAGTATTAGATTAAATAAGAATTAATTTTAAATTGTTTAAAATTTTTTTCTTTATTAGTTATTAAGTTATTTATTAGTTCCGCTTTTATTGTTACTTTTTAAAATTTATTTACAGACAAATAATTTTTTATCCGTTTAATAAAATAAATCAGAAAGAGAAGGGAGAATAAAATTAACAATAATTATATAAATGAAAAAAGTTTCCATAAATTTTTTAAATCCGTTAGAATAGAAGAAAAAAATAAACCTAAATGAGCAAGACAAATATTTGTCGATTGTAGATAGAAAACTTCTGAAACGTTTAGAAGCGTAAATGTGTTACTTATAATAGTTTCCGGAGGTCAGCAAATGGGACCGCTGCTTCGTCTTTGTATGTGAACAGGCATTGTGCTCTGTATGAGTCATCAGGGGACGGTTCAAACGATCGGGTGCAACGCGGGCGCAACACGTATTCCATGTACCTGAGAGAGGTCTATGAAAGGGTCTGCTGTGAAAATTCCCCCTGTGTAGGTGCGCACGGTCAATAACCCAGTCGACGAACAGCTGTTCCTATAAGTATGTCCCTCCCTTTCTTCGGCCACTATTTCTTACATCTTTACCCTCAGCCACCTTTCGATCTCAGATCTTCATTCTGACACGATGGGCGACAAAGGCCCTCTCTAGAAATCTCATGCAGTTGTAGTTTTTAATTTGTAGAGAACGCTCAAGTTTTCTCGAATATTTCTCAATATATAAATGTTAATTTCTTGGATAAAAGAGAAATTTTATATTAGTCCCAATTTTAATTCTAAAATATTATTATACACACTTAAATACTCGATAAAAAGAATGGAATAATTGTTCTATTTTAAAAAGAGAAAAAGAGGCGCATATGTTATCTGTGAAATTAATTCAGAATCGGATTTTTTGTCACGTTTGATTTTCATCAGAAAGTCTAAATTTTATAAACGAGAGCTCAAATAAAAAGTTCTTAGCAACATAACGGGCTTTGGGCCTAATTTTGAGTGTACGCGGGGGCCTAATTCGAAAGCGTGTGCAACCGGCACGGCTGGTCTGGCCCAGAATTATTCATCGTAGACAGGAAATGCAAATTCCATCGTGTCCCCTCGTGTTATAGGACAGTGCTCTTTGACCTTACTTCGATCCCTTTTAAAAACGAGAATTCTTGCCTTTATGAAAATTTCGTCTTCGGACTTTTTCTTTCAAGGCCTTTTCATGAATGCATTTATTTCCACACACGTATTTATGTAACACAAATAATTATAATAATAATCTAAACGTATGTATATCTATATAATGTACGATATATTTGTAATTAATTAATTTTTAAATTTAAATAATTTTCTTCTTTATTCTATTTGCCTTAATTCCGGATATAAATATATATTAATTCTTTATTTATAAAATGTAACGTTATTTAATCTTTAAAAAATAAGAAACGCTACTTAGAAAACTATTTTTCATTAAGTTCATAAAGTGTACGTAAAATTTGAATAAAAATTCTAGAAATACAATACAGTAGTGTTAATAAAAATCGTTTTACCTTTTTATTATTACAAATTCTAAAGTTTTTTCACGATGTATAATGCGTGATACGTCCAAGTGCAAACTTTGTTTTTATCCAATTTCGGTATATTTTACCTCGAGATTCTATTGTATTTCGCGGGTCATAGTATGCAACCTCGCATGTTGCAATTTACAAAGTTGAAAGAAGATCCCAGACCCCTTGACGGAAGGGGGACCCAATGAAAGTTCCCGAGTCTGTGCCCACGGGCACCACGTGTGTGCCCGTTTTCTCTCGCTCTTCTTCTCTCATTCTCTCTTCCTCCCGACGACAGTTCCCTTTCCGCTCGCGCGCGCTCCGCTCGTGCGGATTCCGCTCGCAATCAGTCGTTCTCGAGATGCCGCGTGCGATGGTTGTCAGGTCGCGTAGTGTGAGCGACACTCATCGTGTCGTCGTGGAACGAAAAGTATATTGCGATATGTAACATATTGTATTATTATCATTGTTGGAAAGGGAAAAAATATTGCGGCCGCGATTCCCCGCGAGTATCCGCTGGTATCACGTCGGGCGGAAACGAGTATCTTCCTCCCGCGGGACGCACGTTTCACGTACTGGGTGTCGCGTGTAAGTAACGTATGGAATCCTCGACGAAGTGCTTGGGACGATGTTATAAATTGATGTTCGAGAATTTTCTTCCTAATTTTGTAATACTGAATCTTCTTTTGTAAAGGATACACGGATAGTAATTTTTAATTGACGTATGCATTTGTATTGTGCATTTAATATAAAGAGAAATTTTCTTAGTCACATTAGAGATTCAGCATTGCGAATCGAAAATATGTTGCGTACATGATCGCCGCGTGTGAGTGGATTATAAATTAAACAGCAGTTTATCGTGATGGTTGCGTAAACGAATATTAAAAAAACGTTATTCAAAATCAGGTCATGTCATCGGGACTTGCGTTGATTCGGCTGCGAGGAAAATAAACTGAAACGCGCGGGTGATGAGTCACTTCAACAATGCGCTCCGACTGCGATTTCCTCTCTCTCTCTCTCTCTCTCTCTCTCTCTCTCTCTCTCTCTCTCTCTCTTCGCACTCTGACCCTTATCGTTTTAATCAGAAAGTATAATGGTAAATTCAATACCAAGAACAGCTTTGGCATAAATAGAGCATATTAGAAACTCGGTCTTAACTTCTTAATCAAGATTACGATTAATTTCAATTCGTTCGATTTTAGAATTTCATTTATCGTATTATTTCTTAGCATTCGTCATTATGTCTGTATTCAAAAATAATAATAGTTTAAGTCACAATTCCGCGAAATAAAATACGAAAGCTTCTTACATACACGTTACATCTCTCCTCCGTAAAACTTTTTCATCCTTCCATTATTATTTAAAATTAAGTTTCTAGAATGATCTATTTTTCTTTTATTTTTCACAACGCGTAACAATTCAAATATATAAAACGTATAATGTGTGCGATAAAAAGATTTCTTCTATTAACTCTACTTGGGAAGAAATTTGTTGTTCTAAGAGTTTCTTACAATTAATAATTCTTAACAATATTTAAGGTATGACGGTATTTAACAGGAAGCTGGGAAATCAAGGAACATAAAGAAAATTTTTACAAGTTTAATAAACCGAGGCATAAATAATTTTACCTACAAACTCTATGATCATCGAGACCGATTTGTGCTTTCAAACATACGCGGGACAGATGCGTGCAATTTGTATAAAACGCTGTGTTCTCCTGGGGAGAACTTTCGTTCGTTCAATGGGGACCGACGGTTGAGAAGAGTACAAAAAAGACGCTAGTGTAGGTCAAAGATTGAATGACGAATCCATGCTGCGGCCGTTAAAAATCGATCGGTGAAATATTCCATCTTGATGTTTCCCAGAATTCTTCAATTTGTTGAATCTGATAATATATCTAAAAACGAAATTTTCTTCTCACAAATATATCTTTTTTAAAATACATTCTTAAATAATTTTGAAAAAAAATATAATATACATATATTTGTTTTCCAAAACAATTTTTGGAATCGTTTAAATAAAATTAATAAATAAAAATCAAATTATTTAAAAAAGATATTAAATTTGTACAGACGTGGATATTTATTCTTTTGAGTTGATATTAAACCACTTTTTGTTTTGTTTTTCGATATTATTTTGAAAAATGCAATTATCAAATTGGTATCAAAGAAGTATTAATTACACCTTTTTAGTATCGCAGATATTAGAAGAAGAGAGTAAGCCTTTCTAATATGACTGAACGTAAAAAAATTAATTATTATCGTCAAGATTATTTAAAAAAATATGCACATATTTTATTTTTTAACGAGTATCATATGAAGAAAAGAATGTATAGTTGCTCTTCAGGATAAACTTACGTATCTTGGTCTAACCGCCCCTTTCCTGTTTCCTCTTTTCACAAGCTTGCCGGCTAATCTCTAGGCCGCAGCATCCTGTGGGTGGAATCGTTTGCGTTATAAAGTTCCCCGGTCGAACTTGGAAATCATCAGTCTGAAAGTGCGCCTTCCATCGCTCGCAACTCATTGCTTCAAACATGTATCTCCGCGTATCACGTTGACAATAATGTTAATCGAAGTGCGCTCCACATAATGTAACAGTGAAAAGTGTAAGGCAAGGCACTGTAGAGTTAGAATAAATTAAATTCGTGTACAAATTAAAGAAATCGTATAAATTAATCATTTATTGGTTGAAAGATAATATTCGATCATGAAGTAAATTATAAACAAGAATAGCATTTGTGAAACATTAGAAGTAAAAGTTATTCTTATGAGAATGAAATATAATCAGATAAACACCAACGAGAGAAAAAAGATACTATCTTGTAATCGCTAATATGGTTTGTAATTTCAGTATTTCCATAATATGTAAGTGGAACGCGCATAAATATTTATTATATATGACATAAACTATGATTAGTAAAGTCAGTTACATTTATAGCGCAAAATAGTGTCGGCAGCGAAGATATCAAACGTGCGATTACGTTGCGGCTCGTCATCGGGCACTTTGCTTCTTTTTTTATGCAAGCTGCCTTTTGAAGGGCAACACTGTGATCGGGCATACTCAGCGAACTACACGAAACGTAGCATAGGAAATTTTAATTGCAGAAACACTCTAACGTATCAAAAGCACTCGATAATTTTTTTGTTTTCGTTTTCTCTGTAAAACATAGCATGTATCTTTTTCACTGAAAATTAATATCAGATGAAACAAAGATTTGTATTGTAATGCGTGATTGATCACATATTATTAATAAAATATAATTAATAAAATATTTTCCAGTAATTGTTTCAACATACCTGCAATCTTCTCCTCAGAAGTACAAACCTAAATTAATCGCAATACCTTTCAACCAGGTCGTATTTCAACGGTAAGTTTTGTAAAAAATATCGTTATAAGAAATCTTCTTCGCAGCGGACAGTAATTTATTCAACTTTTTGGTACACATCCATTGGTGCGACATCACAATTCATGTAAATGTGTTAATAATTATTCCTTGTTAATATTAGTTTCTCGATATTTATTACGATCTTTTCTTATGCACGAGCTTATACATTTGTGGAAATGTGTATGTTGCTTCAAATTTGCAACGAATGGTCAGTTATCATGTCATTCACATGATTTAACTGTATTATAGTTATATCTTGTTCAATTCATTAAATCAAGTATATCACTTTATTTCGCTATTTAATTCTTGCGTGTGATTATTCTCTGTAATTACACGAATCTTGACGATTTATACATACATTGCAGAATGATAGCTATATTAAAGTGATAAATAAATTATGCTACTTAACCTGCAGATCGATTTGTATAGTTATATTATATTGACTAACTTTAATGCCGATGATAAAATGATATGGTAATAGTAGAATAAGGTTAATAATAATCGAGTTATAATAATTAATTCAGGTAACTTTAAAAATATTACTAAATTATGTCTATAAATATAAAAGCAACAATGTGATTTAATTAAACGATTTTTTTTTTTTATAAGAATGGATAGTTATCAAATTAAGATTCTGCACATTATTCTATGAAATATAATGTTAACTTAATCCAACAGTAGAGTGATCGGTTTTATTTCTGTATCTTTATTGCTTCAGATTTTATCATTTCACTTGGACGTAAAAAAACGATCCTTTTCCTTTTCATCTCTTTAAGATGACCGATATATCTCTCGTTCACTCCTCTTTGTACAAATCACAGATTTTTGTAATAAACAATTAATGCGAGCTGTCCTTGGAACCTGCAACGCAGGTTCGGGGCAAGTACAGCTCGCTATTTCTCCTTTTTTTCTTTTTTATCTAAAAATATGACATGCGACTTCGACGTACTTCGCTTAAAATCTGTTCCCTATAAAAAGTCAGTCTCATCGTCTATAAGGTCGCGATAATGTCTTAGTTTCCCTAGAGATCTATGTACACCATTTGCGGCGAGGATAACGATGGTGATCAATTGTTCAAAATTGAACACTCCTCGAGATTCACTGGCGCTTCTACGTTAATCAACAGATCTTAAGTACACGCGACTTAAAATTTTGATATTGACTCTCCGAATGTATATACAAAATATTAATAAAAATGACATTAATGAATAGAAACTCGAAATATTTACTTAACGAAATTAACAAAAGCTAAATATATAGTTGCTAATGGTATTTATTCCAAGTAGTTTACGGCTTTACATAAATATTTTTTTTCATGTATTCTTCTATGTGATATTTTTCTCTCTCTCTCATTCACTCTCTCTCTCTCTCTCTTTCTCTCTCTCTCTCTCTCTCTCTCTCTCTCTTCAGCAACATTATTTACGAATCTCGTAAAACGCTACCGAAGCGTCGGATGAAATTAAATACATCATGCAACGTGTGCCGAAGGTGTGCCCATAGGACTGCGAAAGAATACGCAATCTCGTTCTAATACTGCTCTCAAATATTAAAATAAATTACATTCACACCCTGTTCTTCCACGCGGCACTTGTTTAAAATTCTCTTAATCTAAATTAATGACACACGTTCGGATCACGCATTCTCGATCTCATGACAAACTAGAATGATTTGGAATTCGATCGTAGATCATAATTATAAATATGCCTTTTCGGAAGATCCAATACCCAAATAAAAACGACTATGAACGAGAAACGAATTTGAGAATTAAAAAAACATTTTTAAACACGACATAAAAATTATAATTTAATACAGTACTAATAATAAAATGCTTTCAAATTTTTATTTTGGCGTCCGCTTTGATATATGAAATTCTTTCATTATTATATCTGATTATACATAATTGAATAATATATAATTATATATAATATTATCATATTTTCTGTATATTATATATATT